CAATATGGACCCCTCGAAGGTCACAACCCTCATCGAGTACCCCCCGCCCAAGACCCTCCTCCAACTCCGTTCCTTCCTCGGCCTTACGAACTATTACCGCCCGTTCATTCGCAACTTTTCCAAGATCTCTTACCCTCTCCACGAACTCACAGGCAAGGACGAGCCCTTCAATTGGAACGATCGCCGCCAACATGCTTTCGACCTCTTTAAACAAACCATCAGCACGGCCCTTGTCCTCAAGATCGCCGACCCCACTCGCCATTTCTATGTCACCACTGATGCCTCCGACTTCGCCATTGGAGTCGTACTGTCCCAACATTTCCCCCGCGACACCGCCGAGACCCTCTCCATCAAGGACTCACCCACTCACCCTGAGGCTCGACTCGGTGAATACCCCATCGCCTTCGCAAGGAAGAAGCTCCTTCCCGCGGCGATGAATTACCCCTCCAACAAGAAGGAACTCGTCGTGATTCACACCCTCATAATCTGGTGCCCGTACCTCTATGGGCAATACTTCACTATCCACACTGACAACACAATCGTCTCCTCCATCCTCTCCAAGAAAGATATCACTCCACGCCAAACCCGCTGGCTAGACTTCCTTGCTCAGTTCACATTCACCATTTGCAATACCTTGACAAAAGCAACCGCGTTGCGGATGCCCTCTCTCGACGACGCGACCACAAGCCCCCCGAGAAAGTCTACGCCGCCATGACTCATATCCAACTCCTCCCATCACTCCATCACCGATACACCCAAGGCTACCTCTGTTGCTCAGACTTCGCCACCATCTATAACAAGCGCCGCGATCTTGACTCAGTCCCCCACTACTCCCTTCACAACAACCTTCTCTACATCGATACCAAAGGCACCCGCCGACTTTGCATCCCTGACGCACGTGGTCTCCGTACTCAACTCTTGGTCGAACACCACGACGCCAAGACCGCAGGATACCTCGGTTTCAAGAAAACCTTCGACACCATCTCTCGCTACTTCTACTGGCCTTCCTTGCTCGCTAACGTCAAAGCATACATTCGCCCATGCCCCACGTGTCAAGCTGTCAACCCCTCGAATCGGGCCAAACCCGGCGAGCTCCAATCATTGCCCATCCCAACTCACCGGTTGCAGTCCATCTCCATGGACTTCGTGTGCAGCCTCCCCAAGACCGACCGCGGGGATGATTGCATCTACATCATTGTCTGCCGCCTGACCAAACACGCCCACTTCATTCCTTGCACCGCCTCGCACACCGCCAGAGACATCACCTTACTCTTCTTCAAACAAGTTGCACGCCACCACGGCCTCCCCGAGAATATCATCAACGACCGCGATCCCCGTTTCCTCTCACAGTTCTGGAAACAACTCTTCAACGAAACTACACTCAAGTATAGCACCGCATTCCACTCACAAACCGATGGACAAACCGAGAAGATGAACGATACTCTCCAAAGAACCCTACGGAAGTACTGTCATCCACATCAACACGACTGGGATCAATTGCTCACCGCCGCCGAGATCGCCTACAACAACGATGTCTATCTTTCCACTGGCATGTCTCCATTCTGCCTTGACCTTGGCTACCATCCGCGCTTGCCCTCTAATTTCCTGCTTCCCTCGCAACTCAACCCCTCCACACCCCGCCCTTCCCTCAATGAATGGGTAGCAACAATGAATCGACTCCTCAGAGAAGCAACCGAAGCCATGGAAAGAACACAAGAACAACAAGCAAACAAGATCAACAGACACAGATGAGACTTGCAATTCAAAGTAGGGGACAAAGTTTGGCTCTCCGCCAAACGCTTTGAACCCGAACATGGATTGTCAAAGAAACTCTCAAACAAATGGCTCAAACCCTTCCCCATCATTGAAAAAACCTCCGACGTCAACTACAAACTCCAACTCCCCCCCGACATGAGCCGCGTCCACCCGGTGTTCCACGTCAAACACTTGAAAGAATATCATGAATCCCCACCTCAATTCGCTGACCGCCCATATCCTAGACCTCCACCTATCATGTTACCCACAGGCCCTGGATTCGCTATTGAAGCAATCATAGATCGACGAACTACTCAGGTATCTGACCACCCGGAACCAATCACTGAACACAAAGTCAAATGGACCGAATACCCCAACGAAGAATCTACATGGGAACCTCTCTCGAATCTCAAGAATGCCATGAAAGTTGTCCGCGCCTATGATCGTGCTACTCCTATGTCCTAGACACCCACGTAACTACAACCCTAAACCCCTGTATAAACCTTGCTACAACCTCGCAACCCCGTTCTACACACACCCTTGAACCCAGTCCACCCTCCCCTCGACCCCGATTCCTGATGTCTGATCTGCCCTTGCCCTCACCTAGCCTTGTCCCATTTGTCATCTCCACTATTTTGTCTCTCTTGTCCAATGCTTATGAACCTGCGTGACGCGTGCGATAAAGGATCTAATGGCAAGCGCACGAGGACGATGGCCTGCTGCCTCACTGTTCATGGAGATTGCAGGTGGTTTGGCCACCATGCTGTTTCATCGGCCGGCATCCCGACTCGCGGACTTACTGGAGCAGCAACTTGTGACATGGATCTTTGCATCAGTCTGCGACTTCCTTGCTTCCAGATCAGACCTCATAAGCAGTTCGTGTACCGGACGCACCTTAGCACTTGGATTTTGGACATTTGAACTACTGTTACGCTTCTTGGACTTCTACCTGTCGCAGCCGCTGAAGACCGCTTCTACCACCTACTCCAAGACCTGATCAAGACCGCTGCAGATCCCCTTTCAAGACACTTGGAAACTTTGTTCCTACATGAGATTCTGCTTCCAACTCCTTTGGACACACCAGCCCTTGCCTCCTGAACAAACATTTTCATTTTTATTTTTATTTATTTTTTTTCCTGACTTTGACAACCCTGTAGAACATCATTAGCAGATCTCTGTTTCCCTGACCATTGTTCCCCTTACCCACTATAACATCAATAGAAATTCCCTGTTCCCCTGACCATTGTTTCCCTTACCCAGTAGAACATCAATAGAAATTCCCTGTTTTCCTGAACATCGTTTTCCCTACCCAATAGAACATCAATAGAAATCCCCTGTTCCCTGAACATTGCTTAGCTTCCGCTATAGACCCATCCAGTTACATCATACCTTCACCTGTGCAGAACACCAGACAGAATACCCTGTGACTCACATCACTCCCTTCTCCTTCTCCGCCCAGTAATCGGCCCTGTCCCATCCTTCACAGCTCCTTTTGTTTCCTTGGCTTTTTGGCAGTCGGGATGTTGCCTTTCAGAGGGAGGGGATAGTGTTACGGACTCCGCCAGGGCTCGACCCTTGGTCTATCTTTGTGCTGTTTCGGCCTGGCACCCTTTTTCCAAACCCCTGCTTTGGTACCGTCGGATTTTGGACAACTGGCGCCATACTGCAATTCGGGCGCCACTTTCAAATACCGCATTTTTCAGTTCTGCCCTCGGGGCTTTTGCGGAAATGCCCCTGGTACCGTACGTGTCACCGGTACTTATACCCGCTCCCCGTACAGTACGGGGACCAGTCTTGGACCAGTTTTCAGCTGCTGTACTCGTACTCAGTGTGACTTGCCCCTGTTTCGGCATTCGGAATCCAAGACTTCGACTTTGTGTCTTTGCCACTGTGTCCGTGTCCGTTGAGTCCCTCAGTCGTGTCGAGTGAGTGAGTGTGTGTTTGTGCTCTCACTCTCTCTCCCTCTCTCCTCCCCCTCAGGTCTCCCTGTCTCCCTCAGCCTCGCACTCGTCACACTGGATGTCCCGCACACACTCACTCAACACACTGACACATTCACTATCACTAACCTACAGGCAGCTATGGCTGCCGTCTTCTACCTCCAAGTACTAACTAGCGGATATGGCCGCTTCTTCCTCCTCTTAGCCCACTTCTCCTTCGGGCACCTGCAGACCTTCATACACAAGACGTCCCGACAGCGCTTCCGCACGGCTCACAGGCAGAATGAATGCATGACTTGACACTGCCTCTTTATTCATACTTCGGATTGTCATAGGGCTGCCCTTTGACCCTGGGGCCGGGGTGTGCACAGTCCCACATGGTACTTGCTGACTAGACGAAGTGCACCTCGGGACTGGGTACCGCTGACTGGGCTAGGTATATCTAGGACTGCCCTTTGCTGACTGTGCTAGGACTGCCCCCTGCTGACTCAGACGCGGACTGACTCTGGGGCTCACGAAAGGCCACTTCCAAAAGGTCGTGGACTTGATAGCCGCTACGACCTATGCTACAACTAAGACCTCTAAAACTCAGACCTACGGTTCAAGACCCAACGACCGCACTATATACAACAGCTGAACATACGACTTTCAGAACACAGGTCGCAGGTTCAAACACACACGGGTCAACGGGTACTGTACGTAGGTGAAGGGGAGGTCTAGGGATCGAGCCCTGGGTACCGCAGCTGCTATCGTAATAGTTGAAAACCGTTTCACTACTGACCATGGATGTTATATAGAACACAGATTACTGAACATGGATGCGATGTAGAACACAGATCACTGACTGTGGAATTGGCGTGCATGCAATATAGAACACGATTTCTGACCACAAAGCTCCAAGTTTTCTGAAGTCTTCTTGCAGGATCTAGAAAATGTGAAAAACCTTAAGACACTTGACTGCCTTTCCTCCAGACACATGCCAACAAAAATTGCAACAAAAGTCCGAGTCTCTTGATGCCTGGTGTTTACGCTCATGGTCAGGGAAATTACCGGTGTCCTTGGGCCCTTCGCATGTTTTCCCGAACAAAGTGTTGGATTGAAAACACAAACCAAAACGAAACTGGATAGAATCTAACACGGTTTGCAAACAATTTAGCTCTGCGATGCAATGATGACAATTTGCAAGAGCCTCGAGCCAGCAAGTCAGGCACACAGATGCCATAGTCTTCAGAAGGAAACCACCACAGAAAGTATATGCACTCGACATTTTTGTCCACAATTTTTCAAAGATTAGAAGCAACGTACCTGCCTCGCAAGAAATACATCAGAACATAGCCAAGTGATTCAAGGTCATCCCTTCGACTTTGCTCTAAGATTCATCATATGCATCCACAAAGGACCACAATGAACGAAAGAAAATGGGCCCAAATGCCTCACAATCAGTGTGTGCAATTTTGAACTAGGATAGCCTTCCTTACAGTTTTGACCAAAGTTCATGATTAACAATACTACAATCCTGTAGTCTTCTCATGATGCATAATGGATCGCTTCAGATGTATGCCCGAGACTATAATCTATGGTGGTGTGTATGCAGAATGCACATGTTCATATATATTGAGGAGGTTCTCTTAGCAAGGACAATGCAGCATCATCATGCCAGCAATTGTTCCCCTTTTACCTTAGAAAGAAACAGGCTACCAAGCAAATCTGGCAGTGAAGATCTGGCCAGACCGCCCAAGCATTCCACCAGGGTTCGTGGCCCTAGTGAGCGCCTGTGTCTGAGACCTTTCACATTCAATTTGTAGTCCGCGCCGAAGTTGCAGGTAAAGGGGGAAGGAAAGGGGAGGAACAAAGCGTTGCATACTTGCGAGAGGGGTCGGGGGGAAAGACATCTCCAGATGGAGTGCCGTTCTAATGGATGATCTGCAGGATACAGTACAAGATTTCAAAAAGCTGCGGGGATCTCTCTCTCTCTCTCTCTCTCTCTCTCTCTCTCTCTCTCTCTCTCTCTCTCTCTCTCTCTCTCTCTCTCTCCTCCCCCAAACCCCCGCCTGTGCATGCCACACAGCAAGCCTGTGTCTTTTATCAGAAAATCCCTAGGTATCAACACCTGATCCATCCCCACACATATGCAAAGGCACCCCAGCCCGATATGTCCACACATTCACAATAATCACTGAAGCAGCATTTCCCTCGATCATCAATACAGCATAGTCCTGCACCAAGACAACTCGACCAGCATGGCCTTGGTACAGCAACAAAAGAATACGCATTCAATTCACAGGACACTGATCAACAAAATAGGCTAAACCAAAACCTCCATACAGCAACAAAAGAATAAGCTGCAAACGGACTCCAGGCACCCAACTCCATTTTGCTCTGAAACAAACAGAGACTGCAGGAATACCAGCCACTCTTAAAACTCCATGAGCCTGACTACATGCGTTGCAGTCGACAACACCAGCTAGAAACAGACATTATCCATTCTCCAAGGCATCACAAAAGCAAGGACAGCTCATCTGCATGTGTTCCAAAACAGTGCAGCTCATCTGAGGCACGAGCTCTCTGAGCCCGTCCATAAGCTAGGAAAAAAAATAGAAAACTAAAAATGAGAAAGAAAACATTAGAATGTACTTCGGGACATCTGTTACAATTGGAACAATAAAGAGAAAATTGGCATGGCCCCTGTGCAAGGGTGACACACATAATTTGACAAATGGACCAAAATGGTCAAAATTTGTAACAATTGGAACAGTACAGAGAAGATTAGCCACTGTTCCACATGGATGAGTAGATCCAAAATCAAAGCAGCTTTACCCCTATTGCAGAAGATGAAGCACACTTGAGATGAACCAATCCGACAAGGAAACATTTCTTACCTCTATAGCAAGCAACATGGGCCACAATAAATCCATCTTATCCTTTTCTTTCCAATCCTCGTTTTCGCTTTCTTTGGGATACCCTTTATTTGTTCTTGCAGCTTCCCTTTCACTGTGCCTCTCATGCACACGGCTGGTCACGTTGATTGTGGTTTAGCGCCAACTGTCACATTCCCGTGGGCCTTAACGGCACACTTGCACGTTATAAAAGTAGGACAAGCAAAGTGGGAGGTATACTACTATTCATTTTTCTTCAAATGTTCGCCTTATATTTTGTCTGTTCTTTTAATGATGCGCATTCGTATGGATTTAGTAGTAGTACACAAGGGGAGGGCGAGAGGAAGGAAAGGGGTGGAAGACTCTATAGGAAACAAGGGGCGGGGGAGGGAGGGGTAGAGGAGGGAAATGGAGAGGCCAAGACAAACTTCAAAGAGTTCTAAATGTTCACCACCGGAGCAGACTACTTTAGGATGGCACAAGAGGCCAGCAAGCGTTTTGATTGCAGGAGATTTTGAGTTGAGGAGCAGCTGTTCCCAACAGTCCGGACAGTACCAGTTCAGGTGTGGGATGTGGAAGCAACGCATCCGATTCTCGCAGTTGCTGCATCGAATGGCACGATGTAACAGATGCCACACGCTACGTGGCTACTTGCTCGGAACAAAGAGGCACACCTACCGCAATTGTATAGGCATTACCGTTCCAGCCCCTATCTACAGATTGAACATGACATGTCAACGTGTTGTGCATCAGTGCAATGCTGACTTCATCAAACCTAAGAAAAAAAAAACTTGCATGGGCTATGCAATCATAATCCTCATGATACAAAGAATGTGAATCACATGCTAGCCGAATCTCAGGTGTGCCATCACAAAGCAACATGGAGCATATTTCTTGAGTTTCCGCAGTCACTATTCCCTCTCTATGGGCAGGCAAGGATGAGGGATGATCCAAGGTAAGGGTGTTTATCAAGGAAAGTTAGCGGAGAGCGGATGATAGAAACCCAGATTGCATCATCACATTGAAAACCAGATAGCCGTGTGTCACACAGATAGCAGAACGCATCAGTTACACACCAAATAAAAGCAAAGCAATGAACTCGAACGCCAATGTCAGCCTCTGACTCCGCCAACATCAACAATGTATCCAATGTTGCATTCTACATGGCGTCGATGCCCAACCACAAACTCACGATACCGATACTAGCCTACACTATGATGATGCAGCCAGAAGCACTTCAGCAGCGGACTGATGTACATGAAGACGTCCCCCATGCAGACCTCCACGACACACCTGATACGTCCTCCTCTCTCTCGCGACTCATCCCCTGTCTGATCCCCAGCACAAGCTATCCACCTCGCCCAAGGACCACCACACCAACCCCACTGGCATACAGCACCCACAACCCGGCTATGGCTGCTGTGCAGTGCTGTCCTCCACAGCGCCCTGCCCCGGCGCCAGTGCGCCGGTGTCTGGCCAGCGCCCGTTCTTCACCACTCAACGCAGCAGCGCCGTCGCACAATGACCTCCACCTGGAATGTTGGACTAGCGAGCAGCACTTCCTTATATGGAAGTGAGTTGCTGCCAAGTCCTACCCGAGCGTCTGCGGGCAGAACCCAGTAGCTTCTCGGTCCCCAGTGTCTGCGCCCAGGGCCTGTGCAGATACTGCCCTAGGACCGAATTGGTTAGAACCCCCAAGTTCTGCGACGTGGCGGATGCCGTTAAGTGCTCTCTCATTGGCCGGTTGGCCATGCGCGACATCGCGGCCTCCAAACCCGTCGGACGCCTTGGCCGCATGGGGCCCCAAAGGACCCGCCTTCCCTTAGGGTGGGTGCTGCATTGCTTGTGGGGTACTGTCGAGGAACTTAGACCCTCACAATCCCTCCTCCATAGCTTCGATAGTCCTCTGGGATGCTGTCATTTCACATGATCCTTCCCCTTGATTCTTCTCTCGTTTTAGGACACGATCTGAGGCGTTGTCTTCATCAGCTCCGCATTAGTGAGCCAACGGTCTACTTTAGTATGATACATAGATCTGACCCGGTACTCCCTTTGTGGTTTTGGCGGTCTCCCAACATGCTTTGGAATAGGCACGTCTCTTTGCTTCACAATGCCGTGGATGTAGATTGGCTCAGAAGCTGAGCAGTCTCTGAATACAGGATAGTTGCGAGGGTGCCCAAGGATACGAATGACGTAGGAGGGACCATCAAGATCACTCCCCACTATATCTAGAACTTGCCAAGGTCCAAAATGTTGTGGCATTAGTTTCTAGAGATGTCTATTGCTTGTCCAAAAACCGATGACTTTACACAGACCATGTCGCCTAGCTAAAAGTTAGATGACCTTCTACGCCTGTTCTCAGATGCAATCATTGCATCTAAAGATTCCTGAATCTGTTCAACAGCCTGCTGGAGCATTTTGTTATACCAGTCAGCAAATTCAATGCCGCCAGGTGTTATTGTTGGCTGGTTTTCAAGTAAGAAGAAATCAAGAGAAGACCTAGGCTTCCAACCAAGATGTAGCTGGTTGGGAGACATACCGGTGGTGTTGTGTACGGTGTTATCGTACATACTGGTGATGAGAGGTAGCTTCTCATCCCAATCATCATGGCTCGGCTTGATGAAGTGTCGGAGAAGGTGCTGCACCACACGATTCATCTGCTCCTCCTGGCCATTCATTTCAGGATGATTACTTGAAGCCATCTGCGTTTGGGAACCCATCTTCTCAGCTGCCTTCTTCCACAATTCACTCGTAAAGTGGACCTCTCTGTCACTCACTATGGACCTTGGCAACCCAAACTTCCCAAAGTCACACACCCAATTGTCTGTGAACAATTTGATCACAGGCTCCATCTTAGCAGTCCTTGGCATAGCGACCAAGATATGTCTCTTGTCACTCTTACTGGTCACAAGGGTGTCCATGAAATCCATAGACAAGCTTTGGCCGGGGCCAGAGGAGATGGGCAAAAGCTTGATTAGTCCTAGAGGTGCTTGGTCGTGCTGACAAACCTGGCAGGCTAATGTGCAGTGGGACACTGGACCCGTTTTGCAGCAGGTGCTGCTCCCCACCAATAGATTGGAGCATCCAAGTCTCTTTCTAGGAGGGGGTGCTCTTATCACCTCTCCTAGTGAAACAGTTTTCACCTTTGGCAGTAGCCGATGCAGATCCCAGGGGTCGATCCCTTGACCTCAGCTTACCTGTGTACAGTATCTGCACAG